CTATCTATCTATCTATCTATCTATCTATCTATCTATCTATCTATCTATCTATCTATCTATCTATCTATCTATCTATCTATCTATCTATCTATCTATTTATCTATCTATCTATCTATCTATCTATCTATCTATCTATCTATCTATCTATCTATCTATCTATCTATCTATCTATCTATCTATCTATCTATCTATCTATCTATCTATCTATCTATCTATCTATCTATCTATCTATCTATCTATCTATCTATCTATCTATCTATCTATCTATCTATCTATCTATCTATCTATCTATCTATCTATCTATCTATCTATCTATCTGTCTGTCTGTCTGTCTGTCTGTCTGTCTGTGTGTCCGTCCATCCGTCAGTCCGTCCGTCCGTCCGTCTGTCTGTCTGTCTGTATGTCTGTCTGTCTGTCTGTCTGTCTGTCTGTCTGTCTGTCTGTCTGTCTGTCTGTCTGTCTGTCTGTCTTATGTCTGTCTGTCTGTCTGTCTGTCTGTTTGTCGGTCTGTCTGTCTGTCTGTATGTCTGTCCATTCATCTACCCACATTTTAATCCATCTATCCACCCGTTCGTCATTCTGTCCATTCATCGGCCTGTCCGCGTGTTTGTCCTTCCGTTAGTCCGTCACTCCGTCTCTCTGTCTGTGTGTCGGCCGTCTCTCGATTTATCTGCCAATGCATCTGTCTGTCTGTCTGTCTGTCTGTCTGTCTGTCTGTCTGTCTGTCTGTCTGTCTGTCTGTCTGTCTGTCTGTCTGTCTGTCTGTCTGTCTGTCTGTCTGTCTGTCTGTCTGTCTGTCTGTCTGTCTGTCTGTCTGTCTGTCTGTTTGCCTGTCTGTCTGTCTGTCTGTCTGTCTGTCTGTCTGTCTGTCTGTCTGTCTGTCTGTCTGTCTGTCTGTCACACACAAACACATACATACACACGCAATCACACACAAGCACACACTGCTATTAAACCCGACTCTATCAACACAGGAGCTGCTCCCCTCGGTATCGTCAATTATTTCACACCCGAAGAGCCACCGGTCAGTGTCCGGAGCCTGGATAAGGGCACAGACACTGACCTATGGTGTCTGTTCTCTCTGTTCTTTCAGTGGAGGTATACCCGTCTCATCAGAGGAGAAGTGGAAACACTTTCATTGTCGGTTCATTTATTTTTAAAGTCCCCGGAGTATCGCTGGAGTTTTCTGGTTTTCACTGTCGTAATCATCAAGTGCCTTGCCATCAGTGTAATCAAATGTGCTTTTTTATGGTCCTCTTAACGCTTAAGAAGTGCTTCATACTTACCTAGTACAGTAACTACCATGATCAACTTTACGAAGTGCCTCATACTTACCTGGTACAGTAACTACCATGATCAACTTTACGAAGTGTCTCATACTTACCTAGTACAGTAACTACCATGATCAACTTTACGAAGTGCCTCATACTTACCTGGTACAGTAACTACCATGATCAACTTTACGAAGTGATTCATTCTTACCTGGTACAGAAACTACCATGATCAACTTTACGAAGTGCTTTTTAGGGAGGCATCGGGTCTCTCTCGAGGCATGGCGTCTGCCTAGAGTGTTGAAGGTCCCGGGTTCAGGTCCTGTGAAGGCTGGGATTTTTACACGTGGACTTCTACTAATTTTCCCTGGTAGTGAGACCGGACGCCCTGTGTTCTGTTGCGCATGAACACACAAATCCCTTGGCAGTTGGAAATCGGAAAGAGTAGCCTAACTGCGCTGCCTGGGGCAAAATTTGGAGTGAAAAATCTATCCAAAGTATTTCAGGATTCTCGCCGGTGCTACGGAGTTCGTGCAGTGCGCCGAGATTCTTCGGACTTAGCCTTGAGTCAGAAGTAGAACAGAGCACTTATGGGTTACAAACCAGCCCGGCTCACTAGCGCAGCTGGTTAAAGCTGACTTCGCGGCGACCGGGTGACGAACTCCTTGTGGTCCGTGTTCACGCCCGGGGGTAGGCAGAAAAGCCACAGTTCTCCTAGATTTGCGGTATCTATCATGAAATCAAGGCCGAAGGATTGCGATATCCATAGTACCGAGCCAAAGGGTCAACAACACAGTCACTGAATTAACCCTTTGTGTTTGCATTATTAGTTGAGTACTTCTGCCCGGGGAGCCACCGTGGTGTTGCGGATAGACACTTGCATGCGGATCGGAAGGTCGTGGGTTCGTGTTTAGTCGGAACCGGCCTTTTTTTTTTTTTCTTTCAGAAATGACCTTGGCTCCTAGGTCGACCCAGCTTTGAGTAAGTACAGGGTATATTTATAAAAAGTAAAGGCGACCGGCGTGATGCTGAGCCACATAACAGGCCAGGTTCAGCTTTGTCTAAAAAATATAGTGTCTTTTCACTTGACTTTAGCTCCATGTTCTCTATATTTTTTTTCTCCAAAAATACCAACTGATTGCGACTAAAAGACTCAAACTAAAATTATTATTATTTTTTTTTTAGAACTAAAAGTTGTATTTTCTGTGATGCCAGTAAAATGATGCAGCCTAGAACATGAATATCTGGCCCTTTCTCTTCTTATCACCTCCCAACTCAAAGTGTTAGCATCGCTTGATCGGAAGCTGTTTTCTGTATTTGCATTCTGTACATTCCATACGCAGCACAATCTTTCTAGTGGTCTTGGCCTTCTTTCTGAACCCAGGCTTAGACTGACCACCATAACCACTCTGTTTCCGGTCGTTACGTCTTTTACCTTGTGCGTACAGTGAGGCTTTCCCTGCTTTGTACTGTGTTACTTAGTGGACTGTGTGCTTTTTGCATTTTTTGCCCTTGCAAAATGTGCGGCGCTGTTTCGGAACGTTCACCATGGTTAAATTCACCTATGAAAAGGAAGTTAACGTTTAGTGCGCCAAACTTAAATTAAACCCCCCCCCCTTTTTTTCCCCCTGTTCCTTCCCCTTGAACTCCATTCTTAAATACAACATTTGTAAGGCGAAACAGAGTCAGGAGGGTGGGTTGAAAAGGGCTGCCTCTCCTCCTATGCCAATTTTTCTTGGTGCTGCCGGACCTCATCACGCAATAAAGACAGCAGAGAGTTAACTTTAGCCAACCTTCCTAGTGGAGACGGCTTTACTGCATCCCCTGCAAGTTCTGGTTCTTGTTCGTCTCAAATTTGTCCCCGGAAATCACCATTCAATAATTATTGTTTTCTCTTTTGACCGGGGACGAAGGGTGGTAACTCCAGTTGATTGTTAAATTGTAAATCCTGTCTGAGTTGACGAGGCAGCTGCCAGATGAGGAGTTATCTGCTTAGCAGGGGATGACATTAGGGGACGTTTCTGGGTTGCCAGGCCCTTAAACCCCCGAGTATCCAGGCTGAGAGTTGGGAAGTGAATTGTAAAAGGAGCACAGAGGGAGAGGGACAGTTGTAAATCAGTGCGACGCCTGTGGAATGATCGGACTTTCTCATCAAATAACGAGACTTGGTCACTCTTGTTTGATAGTAGAGTCAAACCAATCTCATTAGTTTATGACTTGTTTATTATGTTGTGTAAAACTTGAGGGTTTTGGCAGAATGCTGATGACTGTATGGAAGCTTGGTTTGTTTCGCTTAAAAATAGAATATCCAATATTTTCAATGAATCGAAAAAATTACCGACATCTAGAGAAAGTGAAATAATGAAGGAATATTCTTTCTTTTTAGTCTGCATTCGTCTTATAAGACGAATTTACATATTATGTTGTGGTTTACAGATAGCTATGATATCTGTACACCGCATCTCGCCGGGGATCAGATTTCGTGTTGGCTCCCATTCATACTGTGGCCTTTCCCAAGGGCTATCCTATATTCTAGGGGTGTCATGTTGTGTTATTTTCAACGCTGTAAGCATTCTATCTTCCACGTTGTAAGCGGCTGGCACTGTATGTGTTAAGGTTTTGTGCGTTGGCTCTTCATCGCTATCAAGGTCACCAACGAGTACACGGTACATCCACACTGTCAGCCCTTTTTAGCCCCCTCCCCCGCCCCGACGCCTCTTTTAAGGGCCCGCCTCAAAATGCTACAAATTCTCAAACCAGTTACGGTTCCACAAGAGACGTAGCTGAGAGATAAAATATAACACTTGCTCGCGCACACACACAAAACAATAACCGGTCGCTTTATGTCGCCTGCCTCGAAAGAGAGCTGCACTCTTTCGTGTCAGGGCTCGAACGAACGAACAGTTTTCCACACGGTATGTATAGATGTCGAAGGAACGCATATGCTACCACCCCTAGAATATTAACAGTCCTTGGGAGATTCGAAGGAATGAAATGGAACCGACACGAAATCAGCCAGCTGGCGATATGCGGTGCCTGTCGTGATGCACCGCGATATCGGCATCTTTCAGCCCAAACCCCTTTTAGTTGCCTTTTACTTCTTCTTCAGCGATCTCTGGTCATGCGCATAATCCACTGTGGGCCATAAACTGGGATGTCATCTCAAGGTCTCTTAGGTTTCCCTAAAGCTTAGTTGACTGTTGCTCCGCAGCTCCGCCAGGAGAGGACAGTCTTGCAGGACATGTTCTGGAGTCTGCTCAGCATAAAGACACTGGCAGAAAGCTGTTTGGCTCATACCTAATTTATGTGAGTGTTTATTGAGTCTGCAGTGTCCAGTGCGTAAGCGAAAAACTGTGACTTGGTCTGTTCTGTTCAAGTGTTTCAGAAAATCTTTTTCGTACTTATAACTAGGGCTGTACCGAATAGTGATTTTCACTATTCGGCCGAATACGAATAGCTGGACCACCTATTCGACCGAATACGAATACGAATAGTGAATCATCATCATCATCAGGTGCTTTGCCCACTGGCATGGGCGATTATGCCTCGCCACGATCTGCGATCTCCTGCAGCATGTATTAGTTCGTGTGCTGACACACCCTCATGCCATGTAACAAGACTGTCAAGAATCTTCTCTCGTGTCTTCCTCTATCCCTCCTTCCACATATCTTTCCAGTGGTCACCACATGTTCCATTTTCCCTATCTTATAATATGGCCCCAAAAATGATGACTGTCACCTTCTGATGTCTGTGAGTAGTTGTCTTCCGGCTCCCGTCTCTATCAAAACCTCTTGGTTGCTTTGTGTGTGTGTGTGGCTGTCCAAGGTATTTTAAGCATTGTTCTGTAAAACCACAATTCTGAGGCCTCAAGAAATTGTTTGGCCTGCCTACCGATTGTCCAGGACTTCCAGCCATATGTTAAAACTGGATGTATGTAGCAAGCAAGAATTCTTTTTCTAACCTTCAATGACAAAGATATATTGCATAAGATGTTCTTCATTTTATAAAACACAGTTCTTGCCTGTCCTATTCTCTTTCTTATTTTAGGAATGCATCTTCCATCTGATGTTATCCATGTTCCCAGATACTTAAATTTCTGTACTTGTCCCAAAATAAAACCATTGACTTTTATCACACATTAATAATAATTCTTTTCTTTGATGCCACCATTACTTCTGTCTTCCCACTATTCAAACTGAGGCCCATTCTTCCACTTTCGTGTATAAAATAGATCTACAAAAAAACCAAATCCATAATGTCAAATGTACGCTGAAATTTTACTTCACAAAATGTGGTACAGAATAGTAAACATTTGAAAACATTTCATGTTTTGCATCCTTCAGTCAGTGGTAACTAATACCTATGAATGAAAGTATTCTTAGTTTTATACCAAGTAACAAAACTTTTAAATTGTCACTGACCGCTTAGTAAATGCATGAAAGCGGCATTAGCTTTAAAAAAAATCGTTCCATGTTGTCAGTATTAGAGCAGCTTTTTGTCTCACTGAAGGTATTTCCAGCTTTACTAAACAGACCTTCACTTGATATGCTCGTAGGTGGTGCACAAAGATAACGCTTGACAGTTTGAACCAAGGTGGAAAATCGTGATATTTTTATTTTCCACCAGTCCAGAAACGGATGTAAAGTAACCACTATTCGTATTCGGCGCGACCGCAACTATTCGGCCGAATACGGAATAGTTATTAAGTCCACTATTCGGCCCCAAAGCGAATACGAAGCGAAAATTCGGTACAGCCCTACTTATAACCAGTGTTGGTTTTCCAATCTGTTTCTGATTTTCTCTTAATGAGAGTTTTGACTTCTGGAAAAGATAATGGCTGGTAGGTCTGTCTGTGGTTAGTTACTGCCTTCCTTGGCTAAAGCATCAGCGCTTTCATTGCCTTTGATGCCACCGTGACAAGGAATCCAATGCAAGTGAGTTTCTGTCTTTTTTTTTTTACAACATGGCAAGTTCCTTTGTTAGACTTTGTTGCCTTTTACATTACGCTTGTAGTGAGGCCTGAGAAACCACACGGGGAGAATGAAACAAGAATTGGGTTGGGTTCACGGTAGTCTCCCCAAATACAGTAGGTCACTTTTCATTCACAAGTTTGTTGGGCTGGTCGACTTTCCTGAAGGTTACGGGAGTCCCGCTCTGTTGTTTGGTTTCTGAGATGTCTTGTATTTATGTTTTCATTTCGAGAAAGAGAATGCCTGAGTCATAGGCTGCAGCACTCTCTAGGGGTGTTGTGTTACAGCTAGTTTCTCCATGTTTTTTGGAGTGTTAAAGAGCGTTGGCGTGCTGAAATATTCAACACGCGATATCAGCACTGTGCACAGACTGTGTAGCACCGGCGAGGATCCTGAAATACTTTGGGTAAATTTGTAACTCCAAATTTTGACCGGGCAGCGCCATTATGCTACTCTTTTCGATTTCCAACTGCACAACAATGTACATGGGCTTCCAATCTCACTACCCTGAGACCGTGGGGGGGGGGGGGGGGGGGTAATTACTTAAAGTCCAAGTCACGTGAACAATTCTAGGTCTTACCTGGGATTGAACCCGGAACCTCCAGCACTCTAGACCGACAATATGCCTCAAAGGTGATTACGGTTTTCGTTAAAAAAATTTGTTGTCTGAAAGGCGCAGTATCGTAGCCCAGCTGTAAACCACAACACAGCGTGCCAGCCGCCCTGTCAATTGCGAAAAAAGAAGAAGAATAGAAGTACTAGTAGTTGTAGTAGTAGTAGTAGTAGTAGTAGTAGTAGTAGTAGTTGTAGTAGTAGTAGTAGTAGTAGTAGTAGTAGTAGTAGTAGTAGTAGTAGTAGTAGTAGTAGTAGTAGTAGTAGTAGTAGTAGTAGTAGTAGTAGTAGTAGAAGAAGAAGAAGAAGAAGAAGAAGAAGAAGAAGAAGAAGAAGAAGAAAAAATAAGAAGAAGAAGAAGAAGAAGAAGAAGAAGAAGAAGAAGAAGAAGAAGAAGAAGAAGAAGAAGAAGAAGAAGAAGAAGAAGAAGAAGAAGAAGAAGAAGAAGAAGAAGAAGAAGAAGAAGAAGAAGAAGAAGAAGAAGAAGAAGAAGAAGAAGAAGAAGAAGAAGAAGAAGAAGAAGAAGAAGAAGAAGAAGAAGAAGAAGAAGAAGAAGAAGAAGAAGAAGAAGAAGAAGAAGAAGAAGAAGAAGAAGAAGAAGAAGAAGAAGAAGAAGAAGAAGAAGAAGAAAAAGAAGAAGAAGAAGAAGAAAAAGAAGAAGAAGAAGAAGAAGAAGAACAACAACAACGACAAGAACAAGAAGAACAAGAACAAGAAACATACAACAAACAGCCGCGAACGTCTTTCTAGCAGTCAACAGCGTGTCCCCTTGTCCAATCGACCCTTGCCACTTTGATTAAAATATGCCGAGCGCGTAAATGTCTAATCCTGCATTCCGAGAGCTCACGAGGGGACCCGACTGGCGCCGCTCGAGTAGCTTCAAGACGTCACATGA